TAATCTGTGTCCTCTTGGAATGTGTGAAGAGACGGAGGAGGAATCATTTTCGGACTAACAACAAGTGTGCACTGTAAGTAATAGAATTTTTCTCCTTGAGGTATGACAATTTCAAAATAAGTAGGGAGGATTTTGCTCCAGGAGAATTAAGGATAGCTCACCCTGCTGTTTCTATGTACCTACTATCTCCTTTCTCATGGAGGGATTGTGTGCACTTATGAATTTTAATTGAGCATGCATCTACGGTCTCTTGAGTTATCAGGGCAATGATAGCCATGTCGAGCTGATGGTTGTCTCTGTACGTGTGAGAATAATTACCTACTGCAAATAATCTCTGCATGTGAGGATAAATTTCATGGCATAACTAGATTTAACTGCATACCAATGTGGCAATTTCGTGAAATTTCTCTCAGCATAGACCTGCTCGTAGAAAGTAAGTGGCTGCGTCTTTTCAGTCTGGGGGATGAAAATTTTCAGCTGTTTTTCCTCACATTCACTTGAATGAATATGCAATTGATATGTGTGTTAAAATATGGAAAAAATAGGAAACTTTTCATTTATCTATAGGATCACTTGTTCACTCTGATATGTTGATTCCAGACACTGAACTGCAGAAGTTGAAGGATTTGTTAGGACCATCCGAAGCTCTAGCGATGATCAGGCCAAATATGCGACCCTGTCCTACTGTTCCCTGCCAAGGTTGCATGAAAAAAATAGGAGTCAACATGAAAAGAAAGGAACACAGTAAGTCATGTAAGGTGATTAACATTGCTTTCCAGTTGTAATTTATGTTTTAATTTTATCCACTGAATTTAAATAAGAATATAAATGAAAAAATGTAAACAAATGAAAAAGTATGTGGTCACTAACTGGTTGTCCACTGAATTTTCATGGATAGTACTTTGAAAAGTTCTGCATCATAAGACCTTAATCAAGAAGCAGTAAGGAAAATGCGTTTACTTACTGACTTGACTGCAAGGGCTGACATGCTAAATTTGGGCTTTTAAAATGCCCACTTACCTTCACTATAAAGTTGATGCAAAGAGTACAGTTCTAGAGTAATTAGACATTGTAAATTTGAAGAAAATTCCTCCCTCCAATGAGTATTTTCCTGCTTGAAGGAGAGGGAACAGCACATTATGTGTGATTGATATGCTGAAGGAAAAGCTCTCGCTTAAAATTAATGAAATGAATCGGTCAGTTTAACTTGAAATATTCACTTGAAACTATCAAAATTCAGAAGTTTTTACAATTCATTTTGTGTGTGACTCTGGTAAATAATGATTATTTTTTTAATTTTTTAGGCCAGTAAAGATGCAATTTTTCTAAAAATCACTACCTGATCCTTGAATTCTTGGAATTTGTTTATTCTTGCACGGAGTGAAGAATGCCTCATAGTGTGGAATATTTTGGAAGACCATGTGCAAAGAAGGTACAGATTATTCTTATTTTTTGGCATGTTGAAATAGATAAAAACATTTGTGAGAGGATTCACGGAAAAAAAAGGTTAAAAAAGTTTTGATTGGTAGGTTTTTTTTGTTTTTTTCTCTAAAATAAAAAAAAAAAAAATGAATAAAAAATTGTGTTTAATTTTAAGGCACTTTTTTGGTTTACAGAACAATTTCAGTTCACTCACCCAAATTGTTTTGAGCCAAGAAATGTGCTTTTGAATTAAAAACAATTTTTCTTTCAAGTTCAAAAACTTTTTTAACATTTTTATCAGTATGTATTAGATGCTGCAATTGATCCTTAATTTTTAATGAGGCTCTGAACCTGGGTTTACCTCTGTGGTCAGGTTACCTGCTGCCTAATATACCTACTGTGAGGACTCTCACCCAGTGGATAGGAGCCAACCTAACTGCGAG